GGAAAACAAGAAGTGAATTAAGCCCAGTTCCTGTCATCATTAGCACAAAGTGTTCCAAATGTTAGTTAAAACAGAAGAACATGCCAATGAAGTATAACCAGTAAAATTAGAGCAGAAACACCTAACCGTGACAGGCAGAATTAGAACCTTGTGTAATTGTGTTCATAAAAGGTAACTGAATGCTCTAAAGAGATGAAAGACAGTGTATAAAAGGGAGCACCAGAAAGGAGAAGCATCTCTTCTGGGTGCATGATTTTTGTAATACATACTGAAGACATCTTGCTGCAGCAATAAATTTTATACTCTTTTGCTTCTTCTGCTCAACCTTGTGTGCTGAATTTATTTACCTCTATTTCTAGATTTCCACGACAATTTGGGGGCTCGTCCGGGATTCCACGTCTGGAGACTAGTCTTGGGGCTTTCCCAGATCGGCGAACGCGCACTAGCGCCCGAATCTTGTGTCTTTGTCTAACCACATAATTGGCTCTCAGTGGGGAGAGATCGGGGGAAACACCGGGACTGTCCCAGCGCTGGGCTCTACAGACCTAAACTGAGGTAAAATAGCAGATAGTGTTCTCTAAATATCTGAGTGGCGTGGAGTGCGTCATAATTCTGTATGAGTGATAGAGTCAAGGATTGATTCTGTCATCGATCGGGGATCGACCGTAATCGCCGAGGGAGTGATGAGTCCGGCAAGGGTTACTAGGGAAAGTAACTTCTTTTGCGAGCTTTGAGGAAAGCCGGCGCTGTTGCTGACGAGCTCAACGTTAAGGGAACGTGTACACGTAAAAGCAAATCACCAGGTTAAAATACAGATTATCCTCATTCCTGTACGCTCAGATTAATAGTGCAGACATGGGGAACGGAGAAAGCAAGAATGGCAAAGATGACTTTGTAAAAGCATGCAAACATCCTAACGTTTAGTTTATGACAACTAATTGTGTTCCAGGTTCTGTAACACAATTTAAACTTTGGGTGGAGTGTGGATTTGCAGGGAAGGGAAGTGAAGTGAAAGACCATTAGCAGGTTGAAAAGAGAGATTAAATGTACGAAGGGGATGACTCAAAGTGAGTCAGTGTCATGATTGGGAACTAACCTCTGATCCAGTCGTTTGGTTCAGCCCACAATCCAACGCATTTAGTACACCATTGAATTGGTTGGTTGGGACAGAGAGATGTGTGGACATTATTCCATATGATGGGTCTGATCCAAACCCTTGGTCTGAAGTTGAATCTCATAGTGGAGACAAAGTCAAACGGGAGTTTTGGACTCTATCGAGGATAGAGTTAGATGATGCAAGGATAGCAGGGGTTCCTAAGAACCTCTGGGCGACAGGCAAACATGATGTGGGGCTTATTAAGAACTGTCCGCCTGTGCATATCACTCCAAAATCTGATTTCAGACCAAGGAAAGCTCAGTATCCACTAAAACCAGAAGCAGTCGCAGGCATTACCCCAGTGTTTAACTCATTGTTGGAGGCAGGAGTTCTAATACCATGCGATTCATCTCCTGTGTGAACCCCAATCTTTCCGGTAAAATAAAACAAGAGCTCCAGGAGACCCGGAGGAGTGGAGATTTGTGCAGGACTTGAAAGCAGTAAATGATGCAGTAGTTCAACACGTGCCAAATGTGCCCAACCCATACACTATTTTAACTCAATTCCCTCCTGACAGCCAATGGTTTTCAGTTGTGGATCTGGCAAACGCCTTTTTCAGCGTACCGGTACACCCAGATAGTCAGTTCTTACACATTCACCCACCTCTGTCAGGGGTATTGTGAATTGTGAATCACCAACAATTTACAATGAGGCATTAAAAGCTAGGTTGGAGAATCTGAATGATTGTCTATTAGCTGCTCCCACAAAAGAGCAATGTGAAAAAGACACAGTTACATTGCTCTGTCATCTCGCTAAAGAGGGACACAAAGCAAGCTTGTCAAAATTACAGTTTGTACAAAAGGAGGTGAAGTTCCTGGGACATTTAATCTCTGCAGAAGGTAAAAGACTCGAGTCAAATAGGGTAGAAGCAATTCAAAAGATTCCTAAACCTGTCACCAAAAAACATCTGATGTCATTTTTGGGGATGTGCTCATATTGTAGAATGTTTATTCCTGATTACTCTGTTCTAGAGGCACCGCTGAGTGCTATTGCTCACGGACAAGGCATACACGCACACAGCACGGTCACTTGGACCAAGGACGCGGAATTGGCTTTTGATCGATTAAAACGTGCACTTCAAACCACAGCCATATTAGGTATTCCTGACCCAGCTTGACCTTTCACTCAAACAGTTCATGAGAAAGGTGGATGTATGACCTCAGTCCTCTTACAGGACCACGGAGGTAAGTTACGCCCGGTGGCGTATTTTTCAGCCAAGTTGGATCCAGTAGCAGCTGGATTACCCATGTGTCTCAGAGCTGTAGCAGCGGCAGAAAAAGCTGTCAATGCCTCACGAGATATTGTAGGATACAGCGATTTAACATTGTTGGTACCACATGCAGTGTCGCAACTGCTTTTAGAACAAAAAACAGCTCACATGACAGCAGCTAGATGGCTCAGATATAACACTGTTTTGTTGGAAATGCCTAATATCACTGTTAAGAGATGTACTGTGCTTAACCCAGCAACCCTTCTGCCAACAGAGGATGAAGGAGATCATCATGACTGTGTTGCAGTCCAAGACCAGATTTGCAGGAAACACCGCTGACCAATCCGGATCCGGAACTGTTTGTGGACGGATCTACATCCAGATATTCTGAGACAGGCCAAAACTGTGTTGGGTTTGCTGTAGTAACACAAAATGACACACTGATTGCACAATCATTGCCCTCACATTTATCAGCGCAAGCTGCTGAGCTCACAGCATTGACTGAAGCATGCAAATCAGCTAAGGGAAAAACAGTCACAATTTACACTGATAGCAGATATGCATTTGGGGTTGTACAGGACGTTGGTACTCTCTGGAAACATAGAGGGTTCCTTACATCATCCGGCAAACCTATAACACACCACAGCCTGATTTCTGAACTCCTGGAGGCAATTCTGCTCCCAAAAGCTATTGCAGTTTGCAAATGTGAAGCACACACTAAAGTACTGATCCCATCTCCACAGGAAATGCAAGAGCAGATGCAGCTGCTAAGGCTGCAGCCAAAAACCCACCACCTATCAGAGACACACACACACACGCACACACGCCGCATGTCTAAACTTTCTTTCTCAGTAGCAGATATGGGTGCCTTACAGAGCATGATCACACCAGAGGAGATTATTATCTGGCGGAAAGCAGGCTGACAACCCCACCCCACCACCACCACCACCACCACCACCACAAAGACCATTTGAACATTTGCAAATGGATTTCATTGAGCTGACACCCAGTGAAGGTAAGAAGTATTGTTTGGTAGTAGTTGATATGTTTTCTAAATGGGTGGAAGCATTCCCAACCTCAAAACAGGATGCAAGTGCTGTAGCAAAAGCACTACTCACTGAAATTATTCCACGATGGGGAATCCCTGAGAGAATTGGGAGTGATAATGGAACCCCATTCGTGAATCAAGCCCTAGGGAAAGTAAGTGAGTACCTAGGGTTTGACTTAAAACAACACTGTGCATATCACCCGGCTAGCGGGGGGGCAGTGGAAAGAGAAAACGGCACTCTAAAAAATAAACTGGCTAAATGCTGTGCTGAAACAGGATTATCATGGGTGAAGGCGCTCCCCATTGTTTGATGCACATGAGAGCACGAGAAGGGGAAGGGCCAACATGAGTCCTTTTGAAATTCTTTTTGGCAGACCCCTGAACACTGGTGTGGGACCATCCGGAAAGCAGAGGTCCACAATCGGCGAATGTGAAGATGAAATGTTGAATTATTGCATAAACTTGTTTTCTCTGTTATCTGATGTTCACAAACAGGTGAAAGACGCGCTGCCGAAATCGAACCCCGATATACTGCACGACTTGAAACCTGGCAAGTGGGTCATGGTAAAGGACTTCAGGAGAAAGAGTTGGAAGGCAAAGCGCTGGCTGGGACCGTTCCAAATCCTGCTGATAACACCCACCGCTGTGAAAGTCGCTGAGAGAGCAACCTGGATTCACGCCAGCCACTGTAAACGAGTGCCTGTACCAAGTCAGGACTCAGGAGGAGAATCTACAGACGCGTGGCATGAACCCACGGCACAGAGCCCATAGTGAATCTCGTTAGGAAGCAGCATTACGCCCAGACCTACCCCTTGAAGAAAAACCCTATTCTACCAAAAGACTATTAACTGCAATAGAGACAAAATAACATTTCACAAAAAATCCAACCGTGTAAATAAGTAATCTTGTGTTTGGACCCTCGTGAGGTGGGAGGAGTGCGCTATTTGGGTAATTAGGAATACCCGCACTCCAAGCACCAATGGGCATCAAGAATAGGTGAAGCATCACCAGAGAACAACAACATCTGCTACCAAAAGCCACTAAGAAAGAGTACACGGAGAAGAAACAATGAATCCATTTCTCATGCTATCGCTAGGGCTCGCCTTGAGCCTAATGAGAGGTAATGCACACCCACATGAAAATGTGTTTTGGCAATTTGCTAACTGGACCGCCAGACAATACACTGATGAATCATGCTATGTATGTCACGCAATGCCTACAGCCATGGGCACTTACTCGCTTCGCCCCTCTGCAGATGCGGAAAATGTGGCGCTGATGGAAGTTGCGAGAGTGTGTGTCGCTGTGCGATGCCTTGCTGAGAATGCTACTTCTATATACTCCAATCTGACCCATTTCAGATCCAACTAAAACTGAATATGATCCTCAACTAACTAACACTGACAGTGCTGTCTAAAACATATGATCTTATAAGTAATCTTGCTTAGCTAGTCTCACTCACTTCCTCAAGCAAACACAGTCAGGGGCCAGTCGTGGCCTAATGGTTAGAGTCTCGGACTTGTAACCCGAAGGTGAACCTGAAGGTTCGAGTCTCAGGTCGGCAGGGATTGTAGGTGGGGGAGTGAATGACCAGCGTCTCTTCCTCCCTCAATGCCACCACTGAGGTGAGACCCTTGAGCAAGGCACCGAACCCCCAACTGCTCCCCGGCACTGCCCCCTGCTCCGGGTGTGTGTTCACTACTGTGTGTGTGTGTGTTCACTACTGTGTGTGTACTTGAATGGGTTAAATGCAGAGCACAAATTCCGAGTATGGGTCACCACACTTGGCCACACATCACTTCACTTCACTTCATAGATTTACATTTACATTTACGGCATTTGGCAGACGCCCTTATCCAGTGCTTTGAAATCCATCAAAAATACATTCTGATACAGGCTCACTAGGTCACAAACTAGGAATACCATCAGTCCAAAACTCTGTTGGGAGGTTGTTGTTTTTTTGTGTGTGTGTGTGTGTGCGTGTGTGTGCGTGTGTGTAAGTGCTAACTTAAGTACTTTATGAAGAGGTAAGGTCGGCAAAAACAGCAGTTTCTGACTTTGCTTATGGTTTGCGCTTAATTCTTGTGTTTCATCAAACCATGATCCAAAACCAGCAGGACGAGTATGTTTTGATGTACTGTACTGAAACACACATTGCCTATACTACGTATGAATGCTTGATTGTGTAAGATAAAATTTTACTATGTACTTGTCCTATAAGGACAAAAGGAGGAAGATGTAGTGGAAAATTTTATTTGCATGTATCATTAGTTTTTATGCTTTGACAGGTTACGAGGGAAAAGATGTTCTGTGAAAACAGTTGCTGTTGCTCAAGGAGGAAAACAAGAAGTGAATTAAGCCCAGTTCCTGTCATCATTAGCACAAAGTGTTCCAAATGTTAGTTAAAACAGAAGAACATGCCAATGAAGTATAACCAGTAAAATTAGAGCAGAAACACCTAACCGTGACAGGCAGAATTAGAACCTTGTGTAATTGTGTTCATAAAAGGTAACTGAATGCTCTAAAGAGATGAAAG